ATAAAATTGTCATATAATAAAAAGAGAGAGATTAAAGTCCATTATAAAATACTACTAACTACTGATTTGAATTGTAATAAAGATGACAGTTTTAATCAGTTTCTATGACTGAAAGTTTAAACCTTCGTTAAATAAAGCTTTTATTATTATTATTATATTATAGTTTTCAGTCGACGATTGAGCTCATATTTTCATGAAGAGCTTGTTTTCGGGGGAGTCATGGATCTGGAGGAAAATTTTGGTTTTTGAAAAATACGCAGGGACCATTCTTTTGGGTCTCAAAATATGGCAAGTRCATGTGGCCTACCGTGGCATCACTCTAGAAGCATTATTAACTTGCTTTACTATATGACATGATATCGTCATTAACAAAATTAAAAAACTTAAGTCACACCTTACTAAATTCTTTGGTTTTGTTTAGTTTTTAAGTCTTAGAGCTTGTGTTTGCATGGAAGGGAGCCGGTTTTATAGGAAGGGCTCTATAGAGCCTTAATATTGATACAATAGGTTTCGGGATGTTTTTTTCTTCCTTTTTTTCTTTTCTTTCCTTGTGCTAGATTTTCCTTCCTTTTGAGTTGCTTCCCATGTGAAATACTGATGAGAGGACAATGCCAAGTACATCAAACGAAAAAAAAAAACGTTTTGTCTATCATATTTCAGCTAGATATGTAGTATACAGCCTAAAGTGTGGAATACGTATGCCAAAGTTCCTGGTTCGATTGCTGCCAGTTTCATTTTTGAAAATATTGTTTCTTTTATAAAAATTTGCAGTAGAAATTTCTAAGTCTAACTTCTAACCTTCTCACGCATTCAAGGGCTAAATATAAGTACAGTATTCAAGGGATATATATATAGATATAGCCCTTTAATTCGTAATGACCAGGGATATATGGGATATAAAGCCCTACRTATAACAAAGAAAACCGTGTCAAGTAGGTAGTAATCCATGTTCCTGCCACATCAAGTTCTAATTTTTTTTTCTTCACGAAAATAAAAAGATTTAATATCTCCTAATGGCTTGTTTTCACTAGAGTGGAAAAAAATTAGCATAAAAATTCAGAAGTTAAAAGCTCGAGGCTTTATGAACTTTTGAACTAGAATTTCAATTTTTGTGACGACTTATTCTGCAAGTAGCGTAGTAAATATGTTATGTCATGGAGTTTGTAAATAAATCATGTAGGTACTGGTCCAATTTTTCGAGAATACTTGGTGACAATCAAATAGCATTATCATGGAAACCAACGATTTTCATTCGAATGCGGAACAGAACAGAACAGCAATAGCTATAGAATGTGTGCAACCATGTGACTCAAAATCCCTTGAGATAAGAATAGAATGAAATAGCCGCCATCTTGGTTGATCCGAACAAGAGAAGCTAATGAGGAATAGTTCGTTATCGTCAACCAAGATGGCGGCAATGACGTAACATGCTCCTGCTCTATAGGCTTATTCATGATCTTTCGCGAAACAAAACGAAGCTATACGATAGGATTATGTAAAAGGGTTTTTCAAGACGGTTTTGCGATTACTGATTTGAGATGCCGGGTTTTGCGATACCGCGGATCTTTTGAAGCTCAACAGTTTTTAAATCTTATATTACCAGGGGAACTTGATAAGTACTCTGGAATTTGTTCTGAAAGTGAAAGAATATTAAACATACTAAAAGCAAAAGTTCTGTACGCAGTCTTCCAGATATATTTTTAGCGAGAAAAATGTACGCTCAAGCTCACTAGTTCGAGGAACTTATAAAATTGTTCGCCGTTCGTGACAAGCGGCGCCTATTCAAGTGTTTTCGCGGTAAACAAAACAAATTCCAATAAATTATTCAATTAGTAGCCGTCATACAGATCACAGGTACTAGTATCTCTCAATCCTAAATCATCACGCAATCATATTCTAGCTTTTGTTCTTAATCCATTGGTAAAGGGACCCATTTGCAAATAGACGAAAATTAATCATTCAAAGATTAATTCCATAAAAATTTCGCGGCATTTTTATTCAACAGCTCAATATCTATTTTGTTCAATATAATAACGTCATACAACTGTAACTACCGGTTTTCTGGAGAATCGGCTGACAAGTTGTTTACATGTCAACTGACCTATCCATGTGATTACTGCATATATAGCGCTGTCTCTGTCACTCGATCACAGGCACTTATCGTATGACCATTCCACTGAGAATCTTATTCTTGATACAATAGTTTTCGAGATGTTTCTGTTGTTTGGCAGATTTTTCTTTCTCTTGAGTTGCTTTCTATGTGAAATGCTGCTGAGAGGACAATGCCAAGTACATTTAAGAAACACAAAAATTGACTTCAGGAGGATGGTGGATAAAAACCAGATAAGAGAGAACCTAAGGTATGCTAAAAAGGAACCTTTTATAAGCTTGGACTGCTTTCAACTTTCAACTTTTTCATCTGAAGGGAACAAAAATTTCAAATATCTTCTAATGACCTGTTTCTATTTGAAGAGATAACTAGCTAAAAACTAATGTGAGCTGCGTCAAGACCAAAGAAATGCGGCTTATTCACCTATTGGGCACTCTTAACTAGTCCCAACGGGATTAATGAACGCTTTGCCCTTATCTAACCCACTCTTTTGTCTTTTGATTGTTTCTTTCGTTTCCTTGCCCACCTTCAGTCTCATTGGTTTCTTTTGTCTTGTTCTCAGTATATAAACACTCCTTTCTACCACCTCTTTCTTTTTACCTCCGACGAAGGACTAGCGTCCGAAACGTCAGTAAGTTTTTTCATCTTTTCATGGTGTAAAATTTACCTTTTTTTCATTACTGTTTCATTAGAAACACCGACGCAGCTCACACTAGTTTTTAGCTAGTTATCTCTTCTTGTTTCTATTCGAGTTAGACTCCAGAAAAAGTAGCTCTTATCGGAACATCACAACAAAGCAAACCTCTACTTCCTCATTAACAGAAACTGAAAAATAGAGAAAAAAGAGTGAATCAAATTAAATATTTCGTATTATGAACGGCGGTTCAAAGGATCGCAAGCATTTGACGACACCCGGCGGGTGCTTGCCAGTAAAAGTAGGAAGAATAAACCTTGATGATATTTTGTTAGAAATGGCTGCACAAAGTTATAGATTTGTCTTGCACTGAGTCAATGTTGTGGCTTGTCGTCGAAACTGGAATTTGTCTTCGTAACAATTGGTAGAGGCAATACTATGTTTTTATGTAACTTAGTAAAATCTTATCAAATTGAGTTGATCCTCGCAGTATATGAAGCAACTTATGCAGCTGCTGCAAATTGAAAGACTCAGAAAAAAATCCGCATACTTGCTTCATATACTGCGAGGATTAACTCAATTTGATACATTAGAGATTTCCGATTTAGCGGATTATAGGCGGAATAGGCATATACTAACGGAATAGGTACATCGTGTAGCTGATGCGTTGTGAATTCAGTCAAACCGTTAAATAGGTGCCGTAAACTAAATCAAACTAACTTCTGAATCGTCTTTGTATTTATATAGGGTATTTTTTT